GGCTTAAGGGTTTAAGGGTTTAAGGGCTTAAGGATTTGAGGGTTTAGGGCTTTAGGGGTTTGAGGGTTTAGGGCTTTAGGGGTTTAGGGTTTAGGGGTGTAGGGGTTTAGGGTTCAGTTTAAGAGTTTAGGGTTACGGGTCCAGGGTTCAGGGAGTCTCAGACCTCTTCCTATCCCCTTAATGCAGGAATATACCTGAAGCCATAGTCGGATCCCTAATGTGATTTTTAAGGCATCTTGATTAGTTAGGGGATTTTGGAAAGTCTGGCTAGAGAGTGGACTGAGAATTTCAAAATCGCAAATATAAGTCGTAAACATGAAGACCATTCTTGAACGGACTCTGGCAGAAGGACCACCCACGCTCGCCTAAAGCCCCCAGTCAACACTTATCATGTGGTCTCACGGTGTAAACCTCGAACCCGTCAGTAAGAGTTTAGGTTTTGGGGTTTTCGCAAAGACGACCCCCCGACCCTCAAGAGTTTTCTATGCTTAAGGCTTGCAGGGTCTATCGGGGTTTCGCGCACGGGCCTGGGACAAATCAATTATCCCAAGCAAACCAGCCAGAGTTGATGCAGTACACATTTGCTTGCAAATCTAAGGACAACATCTGCGACAAGGCTGGAACATCATGATCCTGATAACAATAACATAATGAACTTGCAGAGCAGTTTTCATACTGAAACCATGCTGCAATCTGAAATTCACTGTGCATGGCATAAGTCGTTGGCCGCGCAGAGCCTACACCCCGAACCAATGCGGCATTTTGCGTCTTGGACACGAACACCAATTACAGTTCGCACTATCATGTCCTACCCAAGCACACAAGTCGCTGTTGGTAATCATACAAAGTCGGGTCTTGTGTCTAGCATCCGCAACAGGACACCTAAAACAATCACTCACGAATATTCCTCAGGCTTCGACGAGTACATGTTACCCAGGTAGTATCAAATCGGCTCTTCCTACACAGTGACTGTAAGCCTGAAGCACATTAGACGAAAATATAATCGCCGGATCCTTGTGATCATGATAAACACCCCGAAGTTGAAGTGCCCGTGATCCTCAGAACCGCCCTCACATGAAGCCTAGAGGGTTCAAGCTCACTTTTCAGGTCTCCACCGTTCTGGCGAGCTTTGAATGGCTGTGTTGGATCTTGTTAAAGATTCTGCGCCAAACCCTAAGCCCTCTGAGTCCACTGTCTGACAGTTCTACATGGGGGTTCCCGACTTCTAGGTGCAGTTTTATGAACTTGCAGACGGGCATGAATAAGACAAAGCTTTGGGCGTCTCTTTACTATGTCCTTCATGGCAGGGAACCCCGAAAACATAAGATTCCCTGAGGGTCCAAGTGCCCATTATTTAACGACTCTGGGCCTTTTTGGGTACTTAAAACCATAAATAGGGGCTACTTGGACCCTCAGTGATTACCAACTTCTCAGACCGCTCTGTGCATCGCAAACCATCGAAGAGACCCTAAGCCCCAAATCCTGAGATACTTTAGGGTTTAGGGCTTTAGGGTCTTAGGGTTTAGGGTTCAGGGTTTTAGGGTTTTAGGGTTTTAGGGTTGAGGGTTTAGGGCTTAGGGTTCTTTTGGCGAGACACGTGCCCGAAGGATGGCATCGAAAACATTCATCGCCAGCTGCCAATTCTGGCCTGTGCGGAGAACTAAACCCTAAACCCGAAACACTAGGTCTTATGGTTTTAGGGCTTCGGGGTTTAGGGTTCAGGGTTTAGGGTTCTTATGGTTTTAGGGTTTCGGGGTCCCCTAAAGTTAGGCCGACCTGCTGGTGAACTATAAGTTACCCGAAGGGTCCATGCACCCAAATGATTAATATGTTCTCTGGCTCTGAAGTACCGTGCAGCCCTCTGTATGGACCACTTGAAGGCCAGCATATACTGAATGCGTACATCGACCCTTAAGCCCTGAACCCTGAAGCCCTTATAGAACCCTTATAGTAGCCACTAAAGGGACTCTTAAAATCCTAAACCCTAAACCCTATACCCTAAACCCTAAACCCTAAACCCTCAACCCTCAACCCTAAACCCGATTCCTTAAAGCTCCATTGCTAGTAGGGTGCATGGACGTTTAGGGCTAAAAAGTGCAGTTGCCGCTTGGCTATTTGGGCCCAGATCTGCCAAGCATCTTTCTTAGGGTTTAGGGTTTAGGGTTTAGGGTTTAGGGTTTTCGGCTAGATTGGAAGCACCGGAACGGGGTGATATCTTGGAGGGTCGGGGGTCTTAGTAAGTGGTTATTTTTTAGACTTAGAAGTACTATAGGGTCCCTGTTGGGGTACTTATAAGTCTACTTATTACCTACTTACTAAGTCTCCCGACCCTCCAAGATAGGTCACTACAGCTAAGTTGCGCCTGCTACAGACGGACGAGAAAGCCTTGAACCCTGTACCCCAAACCCTAAACCGTCAACCGGCTCCGATTTGCGCCTAGCAGCGGACGAGAAAGCCTTCAACCCTGTACCCTAAACCCAAAACCCTAAACCCTCAACCGGCTCTGGGTTGCGCCTGCTAAGGGCGGACGAGAAGATTTGAACCCTGTACCCCAAACCCAAAACCCTAAACCCCAAACTCAAAAACCCAAAAACCCTAAACCCCAAACCCTAAACCGTCAATCGGCTCTGTGCTGGGGCCTTGGGTTTGCGGCATCGATCGAATGCTCCGCGAGACTCGCGGAATTCGCCAACCTCCGAACACGGTCCTCTCACTGCTGTTGATGATATAAACCTTGCATTACCTTAAGGACCCGAAACTATGGGAATTGTGCTATATTCCTTACTAATTATGGGTAATGCAGGATTTATATCATCAACCGTTTCACTACCACTGCCACTAACACTGCCAATGCGACCTCGACGACGCCGATCGCTACCCTTCATTGGTACCATCTTCGCTTTCTCGGAGCAGAACATGTTGAATCGACAGATCACAACCTCTCCTTGGCACAACCAAAGACGACACCAAACACTGCAACAGCAGCACTGAGGGACCGCCCCTCTGCTGCTAAGACTTAAGACAACCCTACACACCTGCGGCCCACGTAGCCATCATCGTTCTTGCAATTTTTACGAGAAGACGAAGCCTCGACTTCGGGCTGCCGTGATGGTCTGGGTTGTCGCCTGCAGCAGGCATTATACTACAGTCTATTGTAGTACAGTATAAGAAAATAAAAGCTAGTATAAGATGGTATAGTATATGGTATAGTGTAGTATAGTATATAGTATAAGATAGTCGAGTATAAAAGAGTATAGTGTAGTGTAATCTTGGTCAAGAAGTTCCGATATCGGGCAGGAGGAGTCTAGGACCCGTATAGAACCATTGTGGACTCTTGATGGAGCCCTTGCGGAACCCGTACCGGGTCCTTCTAAGCTCAAGCGCGCCTTCCGAAAGTATACGGTTTTGTCGGGCTTTCAGGGGGTCGACAGGCTTCTATGGCGTACGGGGCTTTATGGGACTATGCCGGGATATTTAGTAATTGCGGCTTTGTGGAGTTTAGACTGTAAGTTCGGCGCCACGACACTCCGAACGGCGAGGAGGATTTAGTTGTGGTGTGTGTGGTTGGTGCCTGCGTTTAGGGTCAAGGGTGGGGAGGCGTTAGGGTGTGGGGGTGTTGATGGTTCCGTACAGCAGAAGAACAGGAATTACGGTAGAACGTAAGGTTTTCATAGCAGGAGTTACCAGTATGATATAGGAAAGTATGAACCATAATAGTACCTTCATTTTCTCCTGACACTCGACACCTCGGATAGCAAGGACAGGGTGTCTGGGGCCGGCTGGGGGCTTCAGATCTTCAAGTTTAGGTTTACGATTCGAGATCGGGGCGCTGGGGCTTCGATCTTTAAAGAGCCCTGAGGTGCTAGATCAACAAACCATGAACCCTAAATGTAACATCAAAAAAAGCTGACGCACCCACACACACACACACAGACGCGCAGAGAGCCACCTACTGGCCAAACCCAGGGAAACCAAGATCCTGATGAGTCATCCACATGAAGTATCAGGGCTTAGGGCGTAGGATCCCTAAACCCCCAACCCTAAACCCTAAGCGCCCGAAAACCGCCACGGCCCGCTGCTTTCCCTAAGTTCGGGTCTTGAGTTTTTCGGTGCAGGGCTGAGGGCTTATGATCAGATCGACAGTCTGGTGCTGAGGGGGATCAACCCTAGACTCTTAGCCTTAAATGAACGGATTAATGTAGGGGCCTCAATAACTACCTATACTATTTAGGGGATCCCTCATTATTATTCTGGTATAAGGGGCTGGTTGGGGTGAAGTGAGGTGAACCCTAAACGAAGGCCTCTAAGTCCCTCGGAGAGCCTTTGCTGCCCCCGGCAACAACACCCTTGTAGATGCACTGACGAGGAGGATGCTACCATGCCCTTGGGGGGAGGGGGAGGGGGAGCTCCTGCTGAAACCTCTAAAACCCCTTCCCGAAATGTGGGACATTATCAACATGAAGCCCACCAGCTATGTGATGAAATCTCACTTTGCCACCTGCGCAGATCCGTATGTCGCCCCGGCCCGGCTCCTGCAATCCGGGTTCAGTCGAACTTACAAAAGCACAGACCACAGAAGCGGCCTCTGACAAATTAGTATGACATCACTAGATGTGCAAGACCATGAGCCCCATTAGGTGACGATTCTAAACCAAGGGCTTGCATCGCAGGAAGTTGCTCATCAAGTTGACCACTTGCAGCATCACCATCGTTACCATCGTAGCCATGCTCGTCATCATCACCACCATCGTCATCATCAGCGTCAGCACCATCATCATCATCGCCATCATCACCACCATGATTGCCATCGCCGTCATCATCATCATCATCATCATCATCATTGACCATTGTCATCATCTTCGTCATCACAATCATTATCATAGACACTGTGTCATCATCGTCATCGCAACCCTTCTCGTCATCATTGTCAAGGGTCGCTGCCGTCGCTGTCATCATGATCATGACCATCACCATCGTCGTCGTCATCATCGGCATTGCAAGATCTCCGTCGTCGTCATCACCGTCAGCATCATCAACTACCAACCGACCAATGAGTCCCTAAACCCTAAACCCTAAACCCTAAACTAAACCCTTTCAGCTTGGTTGAAAAAAGGTAGCGATGCCGTGCTTGACCGGCGGCTCTGCTAGCAACACCCAAAGCGTTACGATTCAGGTTTGGAGGGGCCAAACTTGGGGTTTAGGGTTTAGGGTTTAGGGTTTAGGGTTTAGGGTTTAGGGTTTAGGGTTAAACCCTAGCTCAAGCATCCAAAACGAACATCAAATAACGCACCTGAAGCCCGAAACGGCTGTTTGCAACAACTGAGCTCCGCTTGCTACTTGCTTAGGGTTTAGGGTTTAGGGTTTAGGGTTTAGGGTTTAGGGTTTAGGGTTTAGGGTTTAGGGTTTAGGGTTTAGGGTATGTACGGAAACTCTCATAAGTCACAGCTACCCCCACAAACTGGCCCAGAACCTAATGTAGGGCCCTCACTAATTAGCAATACTACTGTATGTTGGGGGTTCTTGTTATATTTATAGTATAATGGGGCCCAAAACCCTATTCTAATTATTACGGCCCTTATATGAAGGCTCTGAGGGTACTCACGTCTGCGGCTTCAGTGAGTGCTCTTAAACCCAAAATCTTATAAACCTGAAAACCCTCAAGCCAAAACCGTACGCCCTAAATGCAAAGCCCTTAGCCCAAACCCGCAAATGCTGAACCGCAAACCGCACGGTTTCGGGTTTCCGGAGGACCCTGAACTCTTTTGAAAGCAGTGATCGCTCTCTTCCTAGTCCTGCGTTTAGGGTTTAGGGTTTGGGGTTTAGGGTCTTGGGACCCCTGAGGCTGAGATGCCTGACGCCGAAACGGAAGGAAAACCACCCCTAAGCCCCTAAACCCCTAGACCCCTAAACCCTCAACCCTAAACCCTAAACCCTAAACCCTAAAACCCTAAACACCCCTAAACCCTAAAACCCTAAACCCTTCTCCCAACTTCCAAGGAAGAGCGCAGGCTGCGCCTTCGCGACTTTCGGAAGGCCTGTCACAACAAAAGAGCCCAAAAACACCATCCGAAAGATTAGGGTTTAGGGTTTAGGGTTTAGGGCCTTTTTCGTCGCATGCGCTCCAAAACCCGGTGCAGGCAACCATCGGTTTAACTGTAACCTCCAATCCCTTAACCCGAACCCTGTAGCAAAGGAGCTGGTGGGATTATGTATGCCGAATCGATGATTAAAAAGTACTGCCTTGCAATTCTCTTCTGATCACCCGAAACCCTACCCTGCATAGACTCACGCATCCAGTGATACTTGGTTTCAAAAGTTCACCCCGGGGGTCTGTACAGGCATCATACGGTTGATGATATAAATCCTGCCTTACCCATGATAAGGAATATCCTATAATTCCCAGAATGTAGGATCCTTAAGGCAATGCAGGATTTATATCATCAACAGTAGTACTCTCCGAACCTTTGCGTTCATTGGACACCTACACGTATCATGGTTGGCCCTCGCCCTTGCTGCCACAACTCTTCCGGCACTGCAACTTCCTACTCTCCATTGATAACCCATTATATTATCTATAGTAGCTTCCTAAACCGCATATAGCATATGTATATGTATGTGTGTATGTATATATATATATATACATATATC